CCCTGGTCTACATAGTGAGTTCCAGGACAGCTGGGGCTTACAGGGAGACCCTGTCTCAAAAAGACCAAAAAAAAAAAATTATTATTTTTATTTTATGTGTATACGTGTATTGCCTGCATGTAAGTACATGCAACCCATGTCGTGCAATGCCCGCGGAGGTCAGAAGAGGCTGTCAGATGCCCTGGGACCAGCGTTACGGACAGTTGGTAGCTGCCGTGTGGGTGCTGGAACTTGAACCCAGGTCTTCTGCAAGAACAACCAGTGTTCTTAGCCACGGAGCCATCTCTCCAGCCCCAAATAAGTATTTTCAAGAATCCTATGTTCTTATCCATGACACTCTAATAAGGACAGGTTGAGTCATTCTTTTTCATGTTTTTTCTTTTGGTGAGGGTTTCTTTTTTTTGGAGACAGAGTGTCTACCATGTAGCCCAGGAAAACTCAAAGTCTTAATTCCCTTGCCTCAGTTTCGAGAGTGTAGGAATAATGGGATGTACCACAACATTGAGCTAAGTTGCTCCATACCTCACAGCTTGGATGTTTTAAGAAATGCTGCTGCCATCTTGGACCCTACCAGTCTAGTTTCCTTGCCCTTTGCCATGAACTAAAAAAAAAAAAATTTGTCTAAAAGCCCTGAAGATTTACTATTACTATTTTTATTATTATTATTGGTAACGTCCAGAAGATCTCTAAGTTAACTACTTGGTATTTTATCTGGTATGTAACAGACCATTTTAATATTCAGATTAAATTTTTTTATTTTTATAAAGCTCTCTTGAATTAGTTTGAAATACTAATTTGTTCTGTTGCTTTGGTGTCTTCTTCAGTAACTGTAATTCTTTCTAATGCTATATATTTAATGCTTTTATTCAATGACCCTTTCAAAATTTTTAGTCAAATGTATTCTGCCCAATAATTCTTCATAATTTAGTGTTCATTTTTTTTCAATTTATTTTCTGAGTTCGGCCACCTGTGGTTCATTATCTTTTTGCTGACATTCTTTTCTCTCATTTCTTTTCTTTTTCTTTTTTTCTAAAGTTTTACTTATTTCTGTGTGTGGGTATGCCCTGTTGCATGTGAGGCCAGAAGAGGGTCTTGATTAACCACCTTTATCACTCTCCACCTATATTCCTTTGAGCCAAGGTCTCTCCCTGTATCTGGTGTTCAAGTTTTCTCATATAGGCTAGAAAGCCTCAGCAATCCTCCTATCTCTCCCAACTCAAGAGCTGGGATTATAGGCATGCGTGAATGCTTGGCTTGCTATACAGAAGCACAGTGCTAGGATTTGAATTTTTTTTTTTTTTCTTTTTGAGATAGGGGCTCCCTGCAGCCTCGGTTGGCCTAGAACTCACTAGGTAGACCTGGCTGGCTTCAAAATCACAAAGATCTGCCCACCTCTGCCTGGTTTCTAAAGGTGGGACTAAAGGTGTGGGCTACCATACCCAGCTGGGATCTGAATTCTATTCTGTTAACCACTGTTAACCACTGAGCCATCTCTCCAATCCTCTTTCATTTAAAATTTTTTCTCATTCTTTTCAAACCTGCAAAACTGAAATTGTCACAAACCAAAAAAAAATTTTTTTTGAAACAGGTTCTCACAGCGTGCCTCAGGCTGACTTGGAGCAATTTTCCTGCTTCAGCCTTTCAAGTGCTGGGCTTACAGGTATGAGCCACCATGCTTGGCTTTTCCTTTTCCTTTCTTTATCTTTCTTCCTTTCTTTTCTTTCTTCTTTCTGTCTTACTACTTGCATGTATATATATATATATATATATATGAATATGTACATATATATTTACTAATCGATAAGCATTTTATACCTGCTTTAAGATTTTTATTTCATAAATACTTATGCGAGCATAGTTTAAAACTTTTAAGATTTATATTATTTATATGTATCTGTGTGCATATGTGTGCATAAGTACATGTGTGTATGGGTGCCTGCAGAGGTCAGAAGAAGGCATAGGATCCCCTGGTGCTGAAGTTACAAACAGCTATGAGCCACCTGACATAGGTACTGGGATTTGAATTCTGGTCCTCTGAAAGAACAAGTATTCTTGACTACTGAGTCATCTCTCCAGTCCCCTGAAGTTTTTTTTGTTGTTTTTTAAATAAACTATTATTTTTCTTTTTCTTTTTGGTGGTAAATTTATCTTATTTCTGCAAGACCGTTAAGTTCCTCTTCATTTCTTTCTTCTTTCTGTTTATAACGTACACACACACACACACACACACACACACACACATACATCACAACAAAAATAAAAATAATTTAAAAATTCAAAGAAGATGCAGCAGTCTACAGTACCACCATGAAATTCTGACCCTTCAAAGCAACAGAAAATTCTACAAATCCCTGGAATTGAAACTAAAGGGCATCTATTACATGGATTACTATTTTTCAGTCAGATCTGATAATCTAGGTAAAATAAAAGTTCTTCCACTGAATCTGTGAAATTCTCTAACAAAAACGCCAGTCTGTCATCTTTTTTTTTGCTATAGCTTCTCAATTGTATTGCCTGTGCATACCTGATTTTTATACAAGATTTCCTTCAAGCTGGTCAGAGCATGAATACGAACATCTACATTTTCGTGTTGAATTGCTTTCATGGATAGCTGGAGAGTGGTTTGAAGATTGGTGCTCTCAGAGGTCTCCTATACAAAGAAACAGCAGAGACATATTAACTAATGACCTTAACCTTTTGAAACGTCTGAATTCTCTACAACCAGTTACTACTAAAGTACCTGAATTATAACCCAATTAAAAAACATTTCCATCTCTTCCTTTGCAAAGTATATGTCACTGTCACTAACTTTTAGGGAAAATTATTTTTATTCTAAAATCTTTAGAACTAGAGATTTTCTTCCAGTCAAAAATATTTATCTAAAATAAATGCTTCTTGATAAGAAATACAAATTCCCCCTAACTTACAGAGACTACATAATGACATTAAACCAGTTTATGGACTCTAAGTTAACTCAATCCATTCATTACTGAAGACATTCTTTTACCCTGAAATTCTATCAAATAACAATTCATATTTTTATAATTTCAGAGAGTTTGTAAGGTTTCAAGATGCTCAGGAATCATGTAGATCTTTTTTTTTTTTTGGGGGGGGGTCTTTTTGAAATGGTCTCCCTGTAGCCCCAGCTATATAGACCAGGCTGGCCTGGAACTCTGCCTCCCAAGTGCTAGGCTTAAAGGCATGTGCCACCACGTCCGGCTTAGATCTGACATTTTTATACCATGATTTATAACACAATAAAATTAGAATTATCCCACAACTTTCTTTCTTCCCTCAGGAAATGCAGATTGGGTAGCTTCTACCTAATGCTAATGTGTCTCACCTAAACGCTAAAACTAAGTCCATATGTAGTGCATGCCTATAATCCCAGTACTTGGAATGCTGAAGAAGGAAGATCAGAAACTCAAGACCAGTCTCAGCTACATACTGAGTTTGAAGCCAGACTAGGCTACAAGAAACTCTGTCTCAAAACAAAAAACAAAACAAAACAAAATGAATGCCATGCCCAAACCCCAAGTCATGGATTCATGGCTGCATTATTTAAGTCACCAGGAATTTACTATCAGAGTATGATTTTATGATCTCCAATGATTCTGAAGGATGTTTTTATTTGGGGGGGGGGTGACACAAAAGTTTTACTACGTAGCCATGGCTAGCTGGAACTCATTAGGTAGAACAGGCTGGCTGGCACTTGTGGAGATCCTCCTGCCTTTACTTTGAAAGTGCTAGTATTACAGGTATGAACCACCACACCCAGCTGTTGGGGACCCCTGCTGTTTAGGGTAGCAGTCTCCCCATGTCCGGATAGCCACAAGCTGGCTCGGCGCGAATGGGGGGACTCCCCTTCTCAGCCGGGCGCCTTCTGCTCTCCTCCCTGACTTACTTTTGAAATGCCCATCACAAGATACATGCCCTCCGGCACAGGAGCTACCAGGTTTTAATCAGGTGTTGTCTGATAGCCTGACAGAAGCCCACCGCCCTATGTAAATGAGGCATCCTAAAAGTACCTATCAGCTAAGGCTTTTACCACTACCCCTACAGTATAAAATATCCTGGTTTCCCCCAATTAATCGGAGCTGGATCACTAAGACTTGGAGCTGAGCTGAGTCACTGAATAAAGGGGAGCTGGAGCTGAATCACTGAGATCTGAGCTGAGTCACTTGTCTGAAGCTGTAACACTAAGTTCTGTGATCTAGTCTCCCCGGCGGGGGGGGGCTATCCTTCCGTCATCGACTCACAGATATCCAGCTTCTGCCCGCCTGCACCTCTCCTCGTGACCCAGCAGCTGACAGGTCCCGAACTTAGAGAGAGAGTGCACGGGTGAAATTGGGGCGGTACTCGACCGGGCCAGCCCTGGTAGCAGAGACCCACAGAGACGCGGAGAAGCAGGGACCCGCCAGCAATGCGGAGAAGACACGCTGCGGGACCCGCCGCATCCCAGGTGCACGCAGGAGACCGGCGCCACGCTAGCAGCTGGCGCCCTGAGATCCCCGCACGCCCATATCTGGCACCCAACGTGGGGCCTCTAAACCTCGTGCCAGCTGGGACCCTGTGCCCACACAGGATTCGTGAGTACCTCTCCCACCAGGAGAGAAGCAAAAATCTCTTCTAATTTCCTCCTTTTGTTTCCGGTCTAAAAGTCTTTGCATGGGACCGCTAAGGACAGAGAGACAACTGAGGCTTCCTGGTCAGGGCTACTCCCTGATGTTAACTGAAGGTTTCTTTGACCCCCTAATGGACCCCGACTGCCTGCAAAGATGTAGACAAAAGACCTCTATCTATATATCTTTCTAATATAAAAACTGGTGATGCAGCGGCCACGTAAGAGTCATTAGGACGGCTGCCAGTCTCTTAAAACTACGGGAAGGCCCGGGGGCCAAGCAAAATCCCCTGAGATTTCAATCTCAGGCACGTTTTCTTGGAAACCATCACTTCACCCCACTTTTTCTATCTCAACACCACTAAAAAAATTCCCTAAAGTTCTAAGAAATCTCCATCCTCCTTTTGTTCATAAACCTTGGAGTCAGCTTCTAAGGCAAACTTCTCTAACCAGTTTTGTTATCCTGCCCCCCAGGGCATTCAAACCACAGCTAAAACCAGTTAAGTGAGAATTTAAATTAACTAGCCCTGCGGAGCACTTGAAAGTTCAAGGTGACTCACAGCCAGAACAAAAGATTTAAAAGTGACTTTTTTTTCTGCAGTCTGAGGCTTGTAACTTGTCAGGGCGCTCCAACCCCTTAGTGTCAGACTGTTACAAAACACTTCCTTTTATAATGGGAAATTCCACATTACGCCAGAAAAAACTTCAAATTTGTTCCCTTAGAGCCTTACTTAAATCAAGAAGGCTTAAGATCTCCCAAAAAAAAACCTCAAAATTTTGGAATGAAGTATTTCATTTTGCACCCTGGATCCTCTCAGCAGACATTTCTGATCCAGAGGTCTGGACCAACATTGCCTATCTGGCTCATAAAAAGGAAATCCAGGAAAGACACCATTTGCCCCTTTCCTTTCTCCCCATAATAGCAGCCATTCAACAATGCTTAGGAAACCCACCTAAGACTGAGGAAAACTTACTAACACCAGGGGATAATAAAGGGGAGGGTTCAAACGATAAAAAAGACACTAAAGATTTCCCAACAGCAGATTCAACAGCCCTAAAAAATAA